AGATATTTTGAAAAACGATGACTTTAAACTGTGGGTCTCATACTCGGTCGTTTTCATACATAGCGACATTCCATACGCGGATGACCAAACCGTGCTGACAATTCTGAAGACATCTGCGCTGACAAAGACAAACATTTTAATCAAACGTTTAGAGCATGCAACTAGTGTCAAAGATGAGCAGCCGTGGAAATCCGCAGTTCGCGAGTTATTAAAAATTTGGTCGACCAAAGAAGATGAGCAACTGATAAACGCTTGGTTAGACTATATCCCCATGATCGATCAGCCTCTTGGCTGGAATATGGCTTCATTTATGAGAACCTTTTGGACAAAAACGATGCTGCTTGATGTTGCTAATTGGGCGAGGGCAAATCTGCAGGATTCAGGTCATCTTATCTTTTACGGCGCCCAGATTTTTAAATCTATAGATGATACTGCAACGAATTGCAAAACGTTGATCAAGTCACATCCGGACAAGAGCTTAAGAGGATTTAAGTTTTCGACAAATCGAAATAAACAAAAGTGAATATGCATTAAGTAGCACCGGTAATCTCAGTTAGTTTCCAACATAGATTGCTTCGATGCATAAGCATCACCTACGATTTTAGCTACAAAATTTGGAAATATAAGTTCCCCAAAATTTTGATGCTCTTGGCGGGAATTTTGACAAATTGACAGTTTGCATGCCTCGTTTTAATGGCACGAAGATTAAATACTTTCGTGCAAATTCGAGTTTTTTTTAATCAAAAGCTGCACTTGTAGAAAATCACTTAAGTATATAGAGAGTTTCATACCACACATATCAGTATCTACCGGTAATTGATACAAATACACAGATCATGCGTCAGACGTATTATGTACCGCATAATGGACATTTGCACACACACACTTCGTCGAGAGAGAGATGTGGACCACGTGTGCTGTTAGCCCTACTTCATACAATACACATAAAGTTCTTTGATGATACAATAAAAGTGATATTTTATACTGAAAGTTTAGATTTGACTTGATGATATATATATTCTCTTTCTATAAAAAGTATCTCGTTAGGTTCTCGGTCCCATGCCGATTAGAGCGTGACTTTGAAATTTTAATCTCATTGCGTCACGACTACCTCTAGAAATTGTAAATCTATGAAATTTCCGGTTGTTCCTAAGCTAAATTATATTATGTAAAAATAACTGTATATATGTTTTGGTAGTCTGATATACCTTTGTCGTAGTATGTAAGGTGGTGGATGTCCGATAGTGGAAGCATTAGGTGATGTGCTCCAACGCTTGAGTGGTTGAGATTGTAATGATCTGGATCAGCATGCGGTTCAATATATTTTTCCTATTAAATAGAATTAGATTCATGAGCACGCTTCACCTCGTGTCGCTAACTCCCAGCGAGCCGTCGAACTACGCGAAAGAGGTGGAAAAGGTGAATTGGCATTTTTCCATAGCCATTAGGCTTTAAACCCTCACCAAAATGATGAAAGCCTTGTAACAGAATTGAGGAATATAAAGCGATGCATATATATGTAACCCCACACAGAATATGTGGCTCACCAAATGATCGTAATGGGACTAATCCCATAAAATTCATAAAACGATAATGTGTTGGTTTTGCCGATGTTGCGGTTGAGGTCTTGACGTTGATCGCCACTTCAGCGGTTTGTCGTGTGTCATGCGTGATTTTTTTTTTTTTAGACGTGTGTGAAAGCAGTGTTCCAGTTAAGTGGTGGTAACGAATACTGGAGTAAATCAATCATAATCTAGTCATAGGTTCCAGCCTTGCTAAAAAGCTCAAAAACGACTTCTCATCGACTCTACAAGCACCGCCCCAGCCGAACTACAAACCATACACTTTCAAATTTGTTTTCAAAATCAAAAAATGGCTAAAGATGTTAAGTTGAGCATCTCCAATGTTTGTGCATCCGTGTATACGTGTACGGTTTGATTCCATCGCTTCTTGCATCAAAATCTCGATGCGTTGTACCGAAGATGGAACTTGAAATCGGAGCATACTTGGAGTGCATGTTGGTACGAACGGTATAAAAATACCAGGTATCTTCCGTTGGGATTTTGCCCCTAATCAAAAGCTTTTTCATTCGGAAATTTGGTAGCGATATACCCAGTTTAGTCTTCAATAGAAGCTAACGAAGTCATAGTTTTGTATATCGATTTCCGTTTTACCTCAAGAACATCATTCGGGTTTTGCACATTCAATGTGGGTGGGATGATTGGCCCCATATATAGTACCATGTGGCGGAGAGATCAAGCTGACCGCAGCTTTGTGCCGGACACTAGCCTTGAATTTGATGCACGTCAGTCGAATTGATTCACACGAAGTAGTCTGTGGGGAAAAGTTTGTGTTGTAAAGCTCCCGAAGCGCTTTACAAAGTCTTGCAGCGATTGAACCCTGATCCTTCAGGAAGCAAATGGTATCTTTACTAACTTTGCCTAAATGAGTTTCAGCCTTGCCAAACGTAAAATAGGCATTGTACCATAACGGCATGATTGCATATAATTCTAAGTCTTTGGAGCCGTAAGTAGTGTGCAGCCCCGCCTGTAAGCGAAAATTAGATTTTCACAACTCGGGCAGTTCATTCTTTCCCCCCGGTTCAAATTTGCAGATATGATGGCGAAGCCTGTCCAAGGGAGCCAAATGTTTTTTGTAAAAGGTTGTGGTGCCGTAGTAGACCCACTGAAGTACTACATTCAATTCACGATTGCATCTCTCAATGCTTTGAGATGCTCTTTTGGATAAATGCTTTGACAGATGCCGATCCTAGTTCATCGTTCAGTATACGTGTGTAAATCCATTTTTGCAATTATTCCGCAGCAGCGGAGAAACTATCCGTATACTTTGAGCGAATAAAGTTGCGGAAGATGACGTCCACAGCTTTAAAGATTGAGTGTGATAGACGCCGCCCTGGCTGTATACAAAAGTCATGGTAAGATGATGCTTTGTCATAGCATTCTTTTCCTCGTTGTAAGTGTACAGTAGTTCCAGATGGCGCATCGTATAACCACATCACTGTATTGTTGTTTGGGTGTCACAGTCGCTCCGCCTTGACGTGTTTCTAATAGTACAACAATGTCTGACAGATGTAACACTTTGTGATCATTTGGATCACGTAGTCTGATCAATTTCGCCATGTCGACTTGGCGTGTAAACACCATGATGCATGTTAAGTCGTAATCCTAATACTAATGCGTAATCTTGTATCACATCTAAGAATCCAGTCGCGTGGTCAACATCAGCTAGTAAGCCGGCGCAGTCATCCACAAACGCTGGAAGCAAATATTTAGATAACCACTTGTCAAAGCATAATCCGCGCACTAAACTCAAGCACGTAAGTAATTCATGAATGGCTCAGTAAACAACATGAACTGTCCCGGAGAGGGTGGATCGCCTCGCCGAATCCCGGACCCAAGTAAAACTGGGTCTCCTGTCTGAAAACTGTTTAAATCCAAGCTGTAGGTAGTATCAAATTCGTAGTGATACACTACCATGCTTAGCGTTGGTCATAGTACACTGTCTAGAACCTTGACAATAAAATTACGCAAGTTTCGGGGTAACTGCCCTTGCGTTCGTCTTGTAAGTTCCGGAAGCGAACGAGAGAGTGACGTTTTAATCTGTGAGGAACAAACCCACTTTGATGTTCATGTATTAGCGAAAGAAGCAAAGTCTTCAACCTCCGCGCAAGAAGCTTGGGACCTAGTTTAACATCATGGTTAAGCAGTATCAATGGAAAGTAGTTCCCAGTCTGCGATTTTTCTCCAGGCTTGTATAGCAGTAAATAGTGTACCCATCGCTGAAATTCAGTCTGATTATCATTGATAAGTGAGTATCGTGTATGATTTCGTACATCCGTGCCAGCAGACTTGGGGAACTCTTGTACTAATCGATCGGTAATTCGTCTGAAACCGGCACTTTTCAATTGAAGGATTTCATGTTCACTCAGAGCAAGTCGTTTGCCGTGATGAGTGCCATCGAACAGGCGTTGTCGTGCTGACTTTAGCCTAGCCACTGTTTGACGTAGTGGTCGGGCAAGCCAACTAGCTGACATGAAGTATCCCGTAAATACTGAAGATAAGGTGATGTTGACCGGAATAGCTGCCCCTGAAATATGCGGTGTCTTTCCGCATATACTACAGGGTCGTCAATCTTTAACCCATCGCTACGTTGAATCTCGGTGATGAATGACCTGAGACAGAGTTGTTAGAGCTTTGTTGCTCGCTCAACAAGATGTATGTCGGCCTCAAATTCGCTCCTTGCAATCTTTAAAATGTCTATTGTACGCATTCAAGTCAGCTTGTGCTTGTTGTGATGCTGATATGCTGCAGTCGATCAGAGCCATTTTGAAGAAATCAATAGCATCGTTCACCGCGGTAACTCTTGTAGCCATGGAATGCGCATCAAATTTTTGTACCTCAACCCACTGACTTCAAAGATAAATGTAAATGTCTCGTCTGTGTATATCAAAAAGACACCATAGGGTAGCGCAGTCAACTTTGAAAAACCTGCCGCTAGTTGCTCTGCTGACAGATTAGCGGATGCATCATATCAAACACCTTTAGGACAACGCCACGGGCGCATGTCATTGTTGGCATAAACTGCGCAGGTAGCCAAAACCCCACAGGTATGTGTTCTTTGTCATGCCACTTTTGATCACATATATGGTTGATTGTAGCAAGATGAATATTACCAAAGCAGCTGTTTTTAAACAGAATCAAGTTAGCTTTTATGTATCAGGCTTGTGTAATCCTTTGTATCCTGATGCATGAAGCGCCATGCGTCGATTCACCCCAACGCACCAAGCCAATCGCCCACTTCTTCTTTGCCAGCGCCCGGTTGAAACTGGTAAGGTAAATTTTTGGTCACAAAAGCTTTATTGTGACGTTGTAGTCACCCATCACTTTGTGCGCCGCCTGGTCGTCTTTATCCAGGTCATTGAGTTGGAAGGCGCACAAAAAAGCATCCACATGTAGCTGCCAAGTCGTTAAGGATGTCAACTGAATACTAAGCGTACGATTTTTGCTAGTAAAGATCATCACCGCATTGGATTGAGCTGAACAGAGAAGGTTGAAGTCACCCCAAAGCAAAACATGGAGTGGCAAAGACGCTTAGGGAGCAGTAATGGTCCGGAGGAGCTTGAACTTTAACTTGGTCGATATATATACTTGGCACAAAAAAATTGAGACAATCACTGACGGTATCGTTTGCAGTGGCAGCTTAAAGTTCACTGCTTTGAAACATAGCTTCAAAGTAGGGAGAAACCCCAATGGAGTCAATACAATATTATTATCGCAAACGATTTTGTGAGCGCAAAGATCCATTGGCAGTTACTGGATCCGCATTGATCAACCAATAGTGCACACAAGACGTTGTATTCGAAGGGTTGATGGAAGCTGAAGATGCGCAGAAAGTAAGCAGGTTGTGCTCTATTTGTTGTCAATATGTCTCCGAGTAAATTGTTTTTGAAGACATCTTGCTCGATAAAGTTGCCTATGACATTTTGGATCTACCGGACTTTGTCCCGCCTTAAAAGCGAGAGTACGTTTACAGTGTCAAAGTTTCCTTCTCATACTGTAAAAGTTTAATCAAAGCAATGAAGCCAAATATTGGGGTAGTTGTCCTATTGCTGAACTCGTCTTGTTCACCAGCTTTCATAGAAATGTCACGTAGATTGAATGAAAATTCTCATCCCGAGGAATGTCAATAGTAAGAACCCTTAACCTCGACTTCTAGCTCGCAAGGGACAATGCCTGTGGTTTGACTTGCTTGCCGCCGTCACGATTGATAATCTCGTTTAAAAGTGTCGATCGACATTTCTTTTTCAGAGCACTTTCTAGTGCTGCAACAAAGATCATGCGCTTAAGCTTAGCTCCAGTCCGAGCGGAGGCATGACCGCTGTAAATAGTATGAACAGATGACTAATCTAGGCTAGTTACAATCTCTGTTTAATGTTTTGGTCCGTTGGGCTTTGGGGTTTGGCATGGTGTTCGGCGGCATCGTCCTTTCCATTCTTGCTAGCATCGAAATGATAGGATGATGGACAAGAATTAGGCCGTAAAGGTGGTGGCTTTAACGGATGAAGCGTGTACACTGTGCTGCAAAAAGATTGATTTTTTATGAGTCAAAATAACTGATCCCTGACTCAAGTGGTTTGTAGCCTGGTCTGGGACCGAGAAGTACCTGGTTCGATACCCATGAGATTTGAATCAAGACGACTGGAGACAGTTCATCAAAGTGGACGTGCAATCACACCCCTGTGTTGTGACCGTCCAGTAGACCCGCACTCAATTGGGTGTGTAATAGTTGGGTTGGAGGGGGCCCCACAGAGAGCCCCATAGTGAAATATGGTTACGGAATCCGGTCCCAAAATGCGTCGGATAACTACCAGCATCCCGCGCTAGAAAAAGTTTAATTCTAGCGTGTGGGCTCCGGTAGGGTAGCTTAATTTTCTCTATTGACTTAAAATGTATCTTCCGAAGTGGTTCTTCGATAAGCTTAAAACGTTCGCCGGACAGCCAACACTGTTAAAGTATGCCAGGATTTCACTTGGTCCTGTACGCGCGAAGGAGTAAATAGAACAGGTCTGGATTTTTTAGCTCGAACCGGTCGTAAATCACCTAGTTGGAAACGTTTTTTGTAGATGGGTCAAATCCACAGAGTAAAGTTTTTCGTACTTGGAAATCTTATATATCGTGTATCTCATGCTACGAATCGTACGTTGTGAGCTACCCAATCTTGTCAAGGCCTATGAGCTCCGTTGGCGCGCGTAGGTCACAAAATACTCGACTTAAACCGCAGGTTCGCTTACATAATTGATAGAGCTTAGGGCTGTCCCTTGCATATTCTTAATGGTGAAACGTCAGCCGGAACATTTATGCTCATACAGATTTTGCAGCCGCTGGCGGTTGGACCGTGGCAAAATTAGAAAAATGGCCGTCTTGGTTCGTTGAGCTGTTGTTTGAAAGAAGTTCAGGGTTTATCTCATATTGCGAGTCGTCGTG